TCCCGTTTTTCACTGCTGGTTTATAGAAATACAATTGATTTTTTATATTGATCTTACCTACTGCAACTTTGCTTAGTTCACGTATTAGTGCTGGTAGCATTATTGTAGATGCCTTAGAGTTTTCTCCATAGATGACTGTGTGATGTGTGAATAATGAAAGTTTTACTTTTCTCTTCCTAATTTGTATACCTTCTATTTTATATTATTGCCTGATTGCTTTGGCTGGGACCATCAGCAAAGTGCTGAACAGCAGTGATGAGAATGGACGTCTATGCCTTGTTCTCAGTGTTGGGAGAAATCAGCATTCAGTTCGTTGTATTAGGCTTTAGTTAGATTTCTTATAGGTGCCTTTATTATTTGGAGGAAATTCATTTCTGCCTATATCTATAATTTGAGAGTTTTTGTTATGAATGATATTGAATTTTATCAAAACTTTTTCTGCATTTATTGAATTGATCATTTTTTTTCTGTTAGTGTGGTGAATTGTATTGATGATTTTCAACTTTTAAAGCAGCCTTGCATTCTTAGGATAACCTCACTTTGTCATGATCTAGTATCCTTTTTATAAGTTGTGTTTTTTTAAATTCTGAATTCAATTTTTAATAGACATAGGACTAAAGTTTCAACTTCTTTTTACTTCTGTCTTAGTAACTCATTTCTTTCAAGGAAATTGTCCATTTTATCTAAATTATCCTATTCTTATAAGATTATTTATAATATTTCCTTGTTATCTGTTTAATATCATTTTAATGTCTGCAGGCCCTGTAGTGATTTTCTGTCTTTCATTCATTTTTTTATATCTATAACTTGTGCTTTTCCTTTTCTTTTTTTACTAAGTTAACAAAATTTTAATTTTTTTATCTCCCAATCCTTGCATATATGCATACATTTATTTTAAAAACCTGATATATAATAGCATATATGAAATTACGTATTTCTCCATCTGAGAATATATTATATATTTTCAATGGCCATGTGTTTGTTTAGTCACCTTTTTTACAACCAAACATTTTATTGATGTATGATTGCCATACAAAAAGCGCTGTACATATTTAATATATACAACTTTATGAGTTTGGAGATAAGCATCCAACCTGTGAAACCATCGCCATAATCAGTGCCATAAACATATCCATCACCTCCAAAAGTTTCCTCCCATCTTATTTTTAGTTTTTGTAATAAGAACACTTAAGATCTACTGTCTTAGCAAATGTTTAAGTTTGCAGTATAGCATTGTTAACTATGGGCACTATGCTGTACAGTGGATCTCTAGGACTTACTGTCTTACGTAACTGAAACTTTGTACCCTTTGACCAAGATCTTGTTTCCTCCTCTTCCCAGGCCCTGGTAACCACCACTTATGAATATCAGTCATTTATCTTTTTAATGCATTATTCTCAAAATTGAGGACCTCTTGAGAGCTATTTTAAGATCCTCCAAAATACCTAATAGAATGCTCTGCATACAGGGTACCACGGTGCTTGTAGATTAAATAAAGGATGATAAAGACTTAATTGTGGAGTATAGATGGCAACCCTTGTTGGTGGGAATATACATTGGTGCAGCCACCATGGAGAACAGAATGGAGGTTTCTCAAAACATTAAAAATAAAATTACCATATGATCCAGCAATCCCACTTCTGGACATATAACCAAAGGAATTGAAATCAAGATCTTGAAGAAATGTATGCACTGTCCTTTTTATTACAGCATTATTCAAAATAGCCAAGACACAGAAGCAACCTAAATGTCCATCGAGGGATGATGGATAAAGAAAGTGTTGTATTTACATTCAATGGAATATTGTTCAGCCTTAATAAAGAAGGAAACCTGTCATTTGCAATAACGTGGATGGACCTGGAGCACATTATACTAAGTGAAATAAGCGAGACACAGAAGAACAAATACTACATGATTCCATTTACATGAGGAATCTAAAATTGTGAAACTCCCTTTTTTCTTTTTTTAATCCAGCTAGAAGTTTGTCAGTTTTATTAATCTTTTCAAAGAGTTAGCTTTTGGTTTCACTGAGTTTTTTTTTTTTTAAGATTTTATTTATTTGTTTGTTTGAGAGAGAGAGAGAGAGAGAATGAGTGAGAGAAAGAGAGCACAGGATCCGGGGCAGAGGGAGAGGGAGAAGCAGGCTCCCCGCTGAGCAGGGAGCCCAACTTGGGGCTCAATCCCAGGACCCCAGGATCATGACCTGAGCCAAAGGCAGATGTTTAACCGCCTGAGCCACCCAGTTGTCCAGTCATTGAGTTTCCCATATTGTTTTTCTGTTTTAGATTGCATTGAGTTCTACCCTTGTCTATTTATTCTCTTCCTTCTTATTTCAGGTTTAATGTGTTTTCTTATTCTTTTTTTTAATTTTAATTTTTAATTTTTTTTTTAGTAATCCCTACACCCAGTGTGGGGCTGGAATTCATGACCCTGAGATCAAGAATCACATGCTCTTCCAAATGAGCCAGCCAGACATCCCTCTCTTTTCTTAGTCTTAAGATGGAAGCTCTGATTACTGGTTGTAAACTTGGTCTTTCTGATAGAAGCATTGGAAGCTATAAAATCTTCTAAGAGGAACATTTATGTAGAAGAACATGTTCACATCTCTGAAATCAGGATTCATCTCACACGCAAGTTCATTTCACAGCTATACTTGTCATACTTTTTTCTTTCTCAGTGATTCAAATAGTAATGATGCATCTCACAATTATTAGTTTCCTAGATTCAATGAAATGTGGTTATTATACAATTCTTTTGAACTTTGCTTATCTAATAGTTGCTGAGTGAAGATCCTGACATAATGATGCTTGTGAGTCATAACTCAAATAGCTACTTTCTCCTTGCCAGTGAGACCATTGTTTATACTTTGTTTAAAGAATGAATTTTGGTCTTTTTTCTTTTTATGCATTATCCTCAAAACTGAGGGTTCCTCAAGAGCTATCTTAAGATATTCCAAACTATCTAATAGAATGTTCTGCACACAGTGTACAAAGTGCTTATAGATTAAATAAAGGATAAAGACTTAATTGCAGAGTATAGCCTTAAAAGTGGCCCCCAAAGGAAAGATCTCTGAGTTTACAATTAATGTGTACATCAGAAAGTTACAAGGGGCACCTGGGTAGCTCCGTCAGTTGAGCATCTGACTGTTGATTTTGGCTCAGGTCATGATCTCAGGTTTGTGAGATCAAGACCCACGTGGGGCTCTGCACTCAGCAGGGGGTCTGCTTAAAGATTCTTTCCTTCTCCTGTTGCCCCTTCCCCTGCTACAGCTCTCTCTCATAAGCAAATAAATACATCTTTAAAAAAAATTGCAAGTATCTATATGTTATGGGGTATCTCTTACCTTCAGTGAACAAGCAGTAAACACCAAAGCACTTTTCTACCTAAAAGAGACCTCTTTTTAATTCATTTTAGATCTTTTGCTATCAGTTGCTGCATTTTTGTTTCTTTGTTTAGACATAGATTACCTTTGTGTTCCTTTCGTACTTTAAATTAAATATGCAAGTATTTATACTACATACACCCCACTATTTGTCTGTTTTCTTATTTATGTTATCCAATATGTGTTTCCTTTAGGTACTTTATCTTTGGGGTTTTATTTTTCTTTAACTGAATGAAATAGAGCATAAAAAGATTTTTAAAATTTCTTTAGCTCCTTAAAACCCTGTTGGTTTCACATGCTGGAAGGACTCCCTGGCAGTATTCCAGTCTAGAATTCTACAAGGCTTTAATCCTTATACAGTCTACTCCTGCTCCTCTAAGTCTGGCATTTCAACAGATAAGGTTTTCTTGTCTTTTTTTTTTTTTAAAGATTTATTTATTTTAGAGAGAGCACAGGAAGGAGGGGAAGAGGGAGAGAGAGAGAATCTCAAGCAGACTCCCTGCCGAGTGCAGAGCCTGAGGCAGGGCTGGATCTCACGACCCTGAGATCATGACCTGAGCTAAAATCAAGGGTCGGACACTTTAACCAACTCAGCCACCCAGGAACCCCAAAGTTTTCTTTATTGTTCGTTTTTCTGTTTTTCCTCATCATAGGGGAGTTACATCACATACAAATTTAACTCAGACACTGACTTTAGAGCTCAACCCCAAGGGAAAAAATGACTGTACTCTTAGCTGCCTATGGCACTAAAGAGCAGAGCCCAGGGATCCATTCTTACATTGGAAAAATTTCATCTATCAGCAAACCTACCTTCCTCCCGGCTCAGAAAGCCCCAGGACACTGTTTGCTGGTGTAAGAAGTCAGGGTTTTTGTTTTTCAATTAGAATACTCTTGGCTTGGATTAACAGAATGCTCAACCAAGTGTGGCTTAAAGAGTGAGGATTTATTTGTCTCATTTAATATGAAATCCACAGTTAGGCAGCTGGTGAAATGGTCTAGTGATTTCAGGGTTCTGGTCTTCCCCTTAGAATTTCAATATGGCTATCCCTTTCTAAGCATCATATCCCCATGCAACATCTGTCCTACAGTCACTTTTCCTGTTGTGTGTGTGTGTGTGTGTGTGTGTGTGTGTGTGTGTGTGTGTGTGTAAGACAGAGATCAAAGAGGAAAAACTTTCCCATTAACCCCATGTGTGCCTTCTCATATGTCTTATTATCCAAGGTTGGGCACATGGTGCTCTAGGTGCACAGGAGGCTGGGAAAAAAGTCTTTAGAATATTCACAGTGTAGAGTGGGAGTTAGGTTTAGGTTCCAACTGAAGAAAGAAGCTGGAGAGTGGCTGTTGGCTGGGCAATCAATAGTATCTGCATATGTGTATATATTTGCATGTGAGAGAAGGACAGAAAGCCAGATTGATTTTTTTTTCTTTTTTTTTTTCCTGGCTCGAGGCTCTTGTTCCTAGGTGAAGTTGTATGTGAACTCATAGCAGAACTTTAAATGGCCCACCACACTCGAGGTGGTTGATGGCATTTGGGCTAAATTTGCCTCTGTTTCCTATGACACAATCAGAACTTTCTATTTTGTTTTAGTTTCTTAAAATCTTGGTTTTGTGGTTTCAGGTTGAGTCCAGAAATCTTCCTGAAACGCCCAGTGGTTGAAGGAAATCGTTGGAGGTTGGACTGCATTCTCAAACGAAAAGCAGTACGTATTTCAAACATATGCTGATATATTTTTTAAATGTTTATTGTCTCTGAAGTGTCTTTTCTTTTTCAGAGACCTTCATATGTAAGTACAACATTTTTCTTTAGAGTTTGACCGAAGTCGAATACTCGTTTTCAAGTTTATTTGGTTCCGGGTTTTTTTCCTGTTACTTTCGACTACATAAATATTTTAGCCTAATTCACAGCATGGGTTATATTAAGAACTCTAATTTCTGATTTTTAATCAGTTATGGACAGTTAATTTTGTAGGCAAAAAAATGTAACAAGATTTTATTATTGAATAATAAAGGATGAAATGAAATGTAGCATTTTATTCTATTCATTATTCTGCCATTTGAGCAAAATATAAAGTCATGAGGAGAATGATTTCAATCAGATGGGGTCAAGCTAATGTAGAACAGTATCAAAGAGGAGGGACATTAAGAACTGGTTGTTGCTTTGGTTCCAGTTTTGGGACAGTTCATGGTAAAATGGGAAATGTTTCCTCTCCAGTTGATCCTGTAGATTCTGGGTGTATTCTTTTTGGTATAAAAAATATTTAGCAAGTATATTCTTTTTTGGTTTACCTACACACATATCTCCCTTCTTTCAATGTGTTTTCTCCATGCCTTTACTTTAAGATTTCTGAAGATGTCCATAGATACAGTAGGACCTCACTGCTAATATTGATGGAAAAAGAAGCTGATAAGTTTATTTCAGACATGTGTACTGCCAGACAGCATCATTTTTGTGGCTAGTCCAATTCATTGTTTCAAAAGAATTCCGTTCATAAAATTGGAAATTCTGGTCCTGAAAAGCATTATTTGCATATTCCTTAAATAATTTAGCATACAGTTACTGAGTGTCTCCTATGAGCCAAGTACTGCACTAATTACTAGAGATACCATATGTGAATAGCATTCCATTCCTGCCCAGGGAGGGCTTGCTAAAGGACTTGGTTCAGTCCTATCCTTATCAAACTTCTTTCTGTGTATTGAATGAGCTGTAACTTTCTCCATGTTTCTCTCTGTAAAATGGCATCTTTCCCATCTGTCCTCAAGAGCCCATTTTAGTTAAGTTGTTCCAGTCTTGCCTAGCAGTTGTCACCGTACTAGTGAGTCCTCTTTTCCTGGTACCTATCCAACACTTTACTGCTGCAGGTTTCAATCAACATGTATTTGTCGAGTGCCTGCTATGTGCAGGGCCCTTTGCTTTTCATATGGGATGTACATAAATAAAAGACATGATTCCTGACCTGAAAGAGCTTAAAACTCTATCTGCACAGGAGTCAACTGGGTACAGAGGCAGTGCCAAGATTCAAAGGCAGGAAGGAGACCATGGGGTAGCCCTAGTGGGGAAGTCCCTCGCAACATGAGGAGTTTAGGACATTTAGAATGGGCAAAACAGTTTGAAATGAAAGGAAGAGGTTTCTAGGTGTAGAATATGTGGTGAGGAAACATTCTGGAGGCAGGGATTCTGAAGGCTTTGTCAGTGACAGTAGAGTGACAACGTTGATTATAGCTGAGTGTTAGCTTAAGTAGGATGGGGGATCACACTGGAAAGGGAGTTGCAGCCAGATGTGGGGGCTTGTGAGCCAAGTCAGTGGTTTGGACTTTATAGAAGAAAGTGGGGAACTACTGGGGAACAGAGCCTGGTGGAGGAGGGATGATCTGATCCAGATGATGTATGAGGAAGGTGAATCTGGCAGGGGGAGGAAGTGGGGAGAACTCAGGCTCAAGGAGCTAAATTCTAGTGGACTTGAGTGTGAGGTGCCTACGGGACATCTGAGTAAACTCCAGAAGGCTAATAAATGCCTGAGCAGGGCTCAGGGAGTAGATCCTGCAGGCCTGGCCCTCCATGTCATGTTAGCTCTCCTGTGTTTGCTTTCCCCTTAGGCTACTGGCCACTTGACTTTTCTATCACTAACATGGGTTTTCTTTGCTTTTATGGCCCACAAACCCTGATGAGGGCCTAGGTGAACACCATGGCCAAGTAAATATTGCACAAAAATGGTGCTTCCTTTCAATTTCATCTGCTTCATGAAACTTGAAATTTTTAAACTGTACATAATGATTTAAAAAATTTCCTAAGGAAATACTAACACTATTAAATATTAATTTCCTATGGTTCACTTGGCAGAATTGCTCTTCCTTAATCTAGCTACACCATATTATTTTGGTCATAAATTTTTACCTCCCAGGTCATTGTAAATTGACATTTCTCTATCCTTATAAATACTGTTTCCCTTAAATAGTTTCTGAAACCCACTACCTTCACAAAGTACTGACTTGAAAATAACATTTATTCTTACATTAATGGGTCCCAGAGGTCCACAAGGTCCATAAAGACTTTTTCCTTCTATCTCATTGTGTAGATTTGGGGGGAGGAATTTAGTGTCTTTGCCTCATAGCCAAGATATAGGCAAACATCTCTTATAATGGCGGTTTTTAGGGAAGAAAAACAATATTTTGTTTCTTTGGTGATAGCCAAGTCGATATTTTTCCTATTTCTTTGGCCTTTTGATAAGCAGTGTTACCATTTAAAATAGTATAAGGCAACCTTGACTTACAGACTGATTACAACTCAAGTCAGCATCCCAGGGTTTCCCATAGGTCTTCATTTACTGCCCCTGCCCCGAGAGCTAGGTTGCATCATAGTTATGGCAACTGTATTCCTGTATCCAGTGTGTATATTTCAACCTTAGAAATCTATGATATTGCTGATGGGACCTGCACCAAAAGAATCTTCAAGTGCAGCAACCTGGAGACTTACAGAAAAGGATTTAGGTCCTCAGGTGGGATTTTGTTGTCAGGCAGTTTCTCTCTGTCCTAGACCACAGACACGAAGACACGTTCTAGAGTTGCAATCAGTGATCATTAGGAGGGAAAGATGTTCAGGCTTGTCAAATGAGACAAATAATCACCTCTTCACCCAGAAAATTCAAACAGGATCTTATCAAAGTGGTGGGCTAGAAGGGCATGTGTGGGAAGGGAAAAATGTGTCTTCAACCTTGAGAACTGTGGTTCAAATAGAACTCGTTCAAAAAAAAAATGGCATAGGAGCATTTGTGCTCTTTCACATTGCTTACATTTGAATGACGAGGATATGATTTCTTTTTGTCCTTTACTTTTCATTTTCCCCAAAATATCATGCCCTCTGGGGAAGTCCTTGACAAATGATAAAAGAGGACTGTCCTGGGGATGCGTTAAGTTATCTTGAAGCAGTGGACAAACTTGGCTGCATTTAGAAAATATTTTGACTATAGTACCTTGAATAATTAAAGGAAAAAACTGGCTCAAAAAAGTCTCTTTGACTTCAACTATAAAAAATTCTTATTTTTTTTATTGTCTTTATGGTATTTTGTATATGTAAAGCTCCTAAAAATTCCTACTGTGTCTAGTATTATGTCTGCTCTACTTGATTCAAAACTAATTAGAAAAGAGGACAGAACTTCCATCTTTTAAAACTCAGGATTCATGAAGTTTATTCCGTGTTTACACCATGAAGTGTATTCTGCTAACCTCTGGGTTACATGACTGCAGCAGAGATAAGAAACATGGCATCACAAAGTCCACTCAAAGCCATCCATTTTTCTACTTGCCCTATTAATACTGTTCTTCTTCCTCTCTAAGAAAAAGTAACTTCCCCTAGGGTCATGAAAAAGCATTGATAAAACAATGGATGCTTCAAATGTGTATTTCTTAAATTACAGAATTAACATCAGTCCTTTTTTCTTTTCTATTTTGGGTTTCATTTTACACGAGCATTTCCCACATTTTGTGTAAGTCTGCACTATTATGACCTGGCAAATGCCGTCATTGTCCAGAAACATTTTTCCTTTGCCCTCTGTAGTTTAGAGTTTATGATAGTCTTGTAACACCTTGACCAAAAGAAGAGGAATTTATTGCTTTATGATCATAGAAATCTTGTCACTAGTTAACCATTTATTAGGATGTGGATATAAGTAAATAATTGTAAACCAAACTACCTAAAATGAACTGTTTTCTTCAATTACTTCCTTATTAGTCCTTTGTATATAAGCTCAAAAGACTTAAAAGTGTCTACCCTGTTTCCTTTGGAGTTATTTATTTCAAGGAGGAAAGACAAAGTATAGAAGAAAATGTAAGATGGGGCACCTGGGTGGCTCAGTCGTTAAGCGTCTGCCTTCAGCTCAGGTCATGATCCCACTGGGATTGAGTCCCACATCAGGTTCCCCGCTCAGCAGGAAGCCTGCTTCCACCTCTCCCACAACCCCTGCTTGTGTTCCCTCTCTTGCTGTCTCTCTCTCTCTCTCTCAAATAAATAAATAAAATTAAAAAAAAAAGAAGAAAATGTCAGGTGTTAATAGATGGAGGGTAGTAATGTAATCCATTAGTGTTAACATCTCTATTATTTCAAAAACCCATTAGTTATGCAGGTAAATAGAAAACTATAAGACTTAGGCCAGTTTCTAAATTGCAACTACTGTACTGTCCTTAAAGAATAGTAATTTCATGGGGCACGTGGGTGGCTCAGTCGTTAGGCGTCTGCCTTCGGCTCAGGTCATGATGAGCCCTGCATCGGTCTCCCTGCTCTGCGGGAAGCCGCTTCTCTCTCTCCCACTCCCCTTGCTTGTGTTCCCTCTCTTGCTGTGTCTCTCTCTGTCAAATAAATAAATAAAAAATCTTAAAAAAAAGAATAGTAATTTCATAAGCCTGAGAAGCAGAATTTCATCCATTTAAAACTAATTAGAAAGATATAGTATAAAGTTTAAAACCCAAAATTGCAACCTAAATTATAAAATGTTACACCTGACATCTTGGTTCATTTATGAAAGATGTTAGGTGTAACATTTTATAATTTAGGTTGCAATTTTGAGTTTTAAACTTTATACTATATCTTTCAATGGGAGGCTCTTTTTTATCACTGTTATCCAGTGCTGAATCCTAAAATATTCAAATAGCAGAGTAAATATGAACAGTAGAGGAAGAAAATAATGTTCTAGTTTTCATTTAAAGCTCTCCATCAGTGGTTTATTGCAGAGTCCTCAGTGGCCAAAACTGTCAGAAGTTAATCTGTTCATTTCTTGCTTACACTTTCACTTCCTATTTCTTTAATCATATCTGTACTTACACACTTGGTTGCAATAATAGTTGCATAATTATAATTAGTAATAAGCAAGTTCCAAAAGTAAGCTGTTAACCAGAAAGAAGATGACATACATATTTTTATCCTATTTTTTTGAGTCAGAATGGGTCTTATAGTACTCAAATTTCATGAATGCAGCTTAGAGCATATATATAGTATGTTCCTCCAAAAATGAATACACTTTTCACATGTTACAGAATGTTCGTATTCTGAAGTGATGTGTTCTTATAAGGATTTAGGGGCCAAAACATGCTGGCAGACCAGTATTGGGGAACTATATATATATATTTGGCTTACTCCAAGATTTTATACCCTGCAACCTAAAAATATTAACTCCTATGTTATTTCACATGTTCATAGCATTGCAAAAGTAATAACCAGTTCTTATAAATTAGATGTGTTCAACCCAGTTGGCTTCTTAAATTAATGACTCAGATTTCCATTATAAACTATGCCTCTGCCTAATTACCATGGATTGTTAATTTAAACTGTAACTAAATTAATCTTTGTCACTCCAGTTTTATTAGATATGCCTGTATCTCTAATACTCTAGAAAGTACTGTATCATGGGAAAATTCTTGCCTTTTATCCCTAGGATATTAAGTACCTAGGTGTAGATACATTCATTATCTAAGGTGTATGCGGTATGTTTCAGAATGCCTTCAGAGCTGCTGGATATAGAGAATGCAAATTTAAATGTTGCAAACTGCACGGCAATACTGAGGATGCAAACCTAAAATAGTTAAAAGGTCATACATTAAGTGAGGGGAAATAAGGTAAGAGTTTCCTGGAGGAATACATTCTGAACTGTATGTTGGTGAGGGAACCCTGTGACTGGACAGGAAGAGGACCGACATTCAGGTGTGGGGCAGTTTAGTACAGGCTAAAACCTTATGATTACCCAGAACTGGAGGAGAAAATACTAGTTTGGTTTTGTTTGTTGGTTTTTTTAAGGTTTTGTTTATTTGAAAGAGAGGAGAGAGCATGAGCAGGGGGAGGGGCTGAAGGAGAAGCCGACTCGCGGATGAGCAGGGAGCCCAGTGACGTGGGGCTCCATCCCAGGATCCTGAGATCATGACCTAAGCTGAAGGCAGATGCCTAACTAACAAACCGAGCCACCCAGTTGCCCCAGTAGTTTTTTTTTTTTTTTTAATACTACCAGCTGTTAGACATGTCTTTTTGATAGTTCATATTAATAGAAAATGTTATCTGTATAGCATGTTAAAGTTTACCAGGCACTTTTGATTTAGTTTGACACTCACAATGGCCTTGTGTGTCTTCTTTTAAGTCCAGGGCCTAAGGTTAGATCAATGTTGATTTTGTGCTGTTGTTAAAAATCAGGGATTTTTGCACGTTAGAGAAACTGACTTCCAAAGAAGTCATTCCACAAGCAGACTTTAATGATGTAATTGTGGGTTAAGAGTATGAATCAGTATATTCATCTCTGAAGATAAAGACATTTTTTTTAACTTAAATGTTTTTTTGGCAAAGAAAAATTCTATTAAAATGCTCCAGAAACATTTAAGGGATATTTAGTATAATTTATTGCATTAGAGTTTTGTGTCACTGCTATTTCAACTAACTGAAGTATAATAAAAAGCAAAAACCCTAATCCTGTAACACGAATCAGGCCAAAACTTTCCTCAATGTTAAGTGTTTGAAAATGTTCAGAGGTGTAAGATCATCAGACACTTTTAGCAGATGATGTTACCATTTCAGCTTTTTGGCTATAATGAATCAAATATTGATACCGTCTCTTGGTATGACAAGTCATAGGAATGGAAGGGAGATAAATTTTTATTTTTGGTATTTGTATCTTAAGATACGCTTGTGTGTCACCTTCTTGTACTTTTCATTAAATATTTTATTATACTTGTTTGTGGGAGAAAGATTATAACACACAGGAAGGAAAAAGAAAAAGAAAATCATCCTCTACTTCCAGAAATTCTCATTCCTCCCTGTGTTTTCTCTTGTGACAGCAACAGGGAGTGAGAGTCTTTGTAATGCTCTACAAAGAGGTGGAACTTGCCCTTGGAATCAACAGTGAATACAGCAAGAGGACTTTAATGCGTCTACACCCCAACATAAAGGTATCAGGTTCATCCTTCTGAACAGTACTTCTTCTCTATTATTCTGTAGTTTTTCAGATGTGTTTTGCTTTGAGTAGTGTAATCTGTAGAATTCTCTAATGTATATTTTGAATAAATAGCATTGTATCCTTCTTAGAAATAAAACAAAATACCTGCTTTCTTATACTTCTGGTATTGGTGGAATCAGCAGAGTTCACATTTCTGACCCTGATCATTTAGCCAAGAACACACCTCTTAGAATTGTTTTAATAATCAGGAGCTCTGTCAAGGTCCCATGCTCCTCATTAAGATTGTTCTGGAACCTCTTAGACGTGATCTCCTTGTGACATCCCTTGATGCTGATAGCAACAGAGAGCTCCTCTAGGATTTAAGAAGCTTTTTCTTAATAGCAACTTGCATAAAAAAACTAATAAAGTAGATAAACACAATAAGCAGCTTGAAAAAAGCTATTTGATATTTGCCAAAGATTTAAAGCCTATCAATAGTTATTCCTCAGTCATTGAGATACATCAGAGCAATGAATTAATAAATCTCTGGCAGGCTTAAAATATATAACAATTATATATTTTATTTGGTCAAAAAAAAGATGTTCCATGTACATAGTAATCGGAAGAGAGCAGGAGTGTCTGTACTAATATCAGGTGAAATTGACTTTAAATAGGAAAAGTTTATAGTAGACAAGGATTTTATATATTAATAAAAGTTTCAAAGCAGCAAGAAGATATAGCAATTATAAACATGTACCCACCTAATAATGGCCATCAAAATATATAAAGCAAATATGGATAGAATTGAAGGGCAGAATGGACAGTTCTACAGTAATAGTTGGACACTTTAATATCCCACTCTCAATAATGATTGGTACGCACATACAGTGGAATATATTTCAGTCTTAAAACGGAAGGGAATTCTGACATATGCTTAAACACAGATGAAACTTGAAGACACTATTCTACATGAATTAAGTCAGTCACAAAAAGGCAAATATTGTATGATTCTATTGATATATATGTAAGTCAAAGTCATAGAGACAAAGAGTAGAATGGTGTTTCCCAGGGGTTGAAGGGAGGAGGGAATGGGGGAGTTATTGTTCAATGGGTATAGAGTTTCAGTTTTGCAAAATGAAGAGTTCTGGAGATAGTGGTGATGAGTGAACAATATGAGATGTACTTAATACCACTGTACTACAATACATTCAAAAATGGTCAATATGGTAAATTTTATGTTATGTGTATTTTACCACACACAAAAGAAGTAGGTTACTAAAAAAAAGTAGTCTCCAAAATTTTTGGAATGTTTCTACTTAAAGATATACAAAAATAGGTCAGTCTGGGATCATTTAAAAAGAATTCTATTTGAAAGCAGGAGGTTAATAACTTCTCAAAATATCTTTCAAATCAAGAGCTGCCAAAGCATGTATATCCTATATCTATACACTTGCCATTTTAATTCATTGGCTACCAAAATATCAATATACCTATTAAAACTTCTGTCAGAGATAGATGTTGGTTAAACATTTTTAGAGTTTTTTAAGTAATATCAGGTGTTACAGAATTCTTTAAAGTGGAAAAAAGAATCAACAATTATGTTGAGCTAACTTTTGCTAAACTGTGTGGCCAAATTTCTAGCTAAATGGCAGCTACCCCAAAATGTGGTATGGTATGGGGCTGAGGGAGAGGCTTAAAAATAACTAGGAGTCTTCCTCTTCTAAATACTGAGAATGAAATTAGAACTTTGGTATATACATGGCACATTTTGGTATTTGAATTATAGAAAATGTTATTCAGGGGAGAATGGCTAAAATTAACAACACAAGAAACAACAGATATTGGCAAGGATGCAGAGAAAGGAGAACCCTCTTACACTGTTGATGGGAATGCAAACTGGTGCAGCCACTCTGGAAAACAGTATGGAGGTTCCTTAAAAAGTTAAAAATAGAACTACCCTGTGACCCCTGCAACTGTACTACTAGGTACTTATCCAAAGGATACAAAAATAGTGATTCGAAGGGGCACATGCACCCCAATGTTTATAGCAGCAATGTCCACAATAGCCAAACTATGGAAAGAGCCCAAATGTCCATCGACTGATGAATAGATATAGAAGAAGTGGCACATATCTACAATGGAATATTACTCAGCCATCAAAAAGAATGAAATCTTGCCATTTGCAATGACGAGGATGGAACTAGAGGGTATTATGCTAAGCAAAATAAGTCAGAGAAAGACAAATACCATATGATTTCACTTGTGTGGAATTTAAGAAACAAAACAGATGAACACAGAGGAAGTTTTAAAAAAAAGATAAAAACAGGGAGGGAAACCATAAGAGACTCTTAACTATAGGGAACAAACTGGGGGTTGCTGAGAGGAGGTGGGTGGGGAATGGGGTAAATGGGGTGGTGGGCATTAAGGAGGGCACTTGTAATGAGCACTGGGTGTTATAGGCAAGTGATGAACCACTAAATTCTATCCCTGACACTAATACTGCGTTGTATGTTAACTAACTTGAATTTAAATAAACTCTTGAAAGAAAACTAAAGCAAAACAGAAAAAGAAAGAGAGGGAGGGAGGGAGGGAGGAAGGAAGGAAGTGAGGGAGGAAGGAAAATGCTATTCAGGGGAGAAAACAGATCTCTTTTATTATACATGAAGGACATTTTAAAAAGTGCATTTCAGGTGGGTTTTTTTTCCCCCTCCCAAGGTGATGAGGCACCCAGATCATGTATCATCCAGCGTATATCTGTGGGCCCATCATGAGAAGCTTGTTGTCATCGACCAGTCAGTGGCCTTTGTGGGTGGGATCGACCTGGCCTACGGAAGGTGGGATGACAATGAACACAGACTCACAGACGTGGGTAGTGTGAAGCGCGTCACCGTAGGATCGTCTCTGGGCTCCTTCACAGTAAGTTTCTCCTTTATGGAACTGCCTAAGAGTTACAGAGTTTGTAGAAGGATGTGTTAATAGCATGACTTACTGAGTGGTTGAATGAGGAGTGGCCTATTTCTGGATGGACAGACCTGGTTTCAAATACCATCTAGCAAGTCTATAACTTTGCATCTCTTGATCCCTGTTTCTTTCCTTATAAGAGGAAAGAGATCCGATAGTGCATTTGCTAGCTCACAGTCAGCTCCTTTGTTTTCCATTTAAACGAAAGATTCATTTCCTATTTGGAAAAAAAAGTTCATAAACAAAAATATGTGTCAGTTGGGTTTTAAGTTAAATCAGCAGCCTTATTACAAGTACCTGCCAAGGCTTTTGAAATCTTCCTACTTAAAGACATGCAAATAGAGGCTAGGTCAGTCTGGAGTCCTGGAGGGACTTCTTTCTGAATACAGGAAGTTAATAACTTCTCAAAGTGCCTTTCAAATCAGGTGCTGCCAAAATACCCATATGCCTAGATCCGTATTGCAGTACTTACTGTTTCAACTCCAACCGTTGCCAACATATCCATACACTTATTAAAAATTCTGATGGGCTCCATCTTATTTTACTGCTGGATATGTTGGTGACTTTTCTGGGGAAAAAAAAAGATTTAGTGAATAAGTAGCCAGGAAAATAATTGACAGAAGAAGCACTACTTAACATTTATCAGAGGCAGAAGTTCAGTTGCTCAACAGTGAATATAACTCATGTAAGTGTGTTTGAGATAAAAAGGTTAGCTGGTATGAAATTTCAAGAATTTGGTCTACTGAAGGAGGAACTACAATGGAATGCCGGGTATCCCTTTGCTAGCATTGAAACAGCTCACTGACCTGGGGCTGACCTCACCCATTATCGGGTGTCCGATAGCCTCCATCGTATGTGAACTTGACGCCTCAGCTCAACTGGAATGAAAGGATCGCATTGCAGCATATCTTATGCCCTGTCTTTTTTTTTTTTTTTTTAATAATTTTCTCAGGCTGAAACAACAGAGTCCATGGAATCCTTGAGCCTCAAAGATAAAAATGAATCTAGTAAAAATCTGCCCTCCATGAAGAGTGCTGATGATATGGATTCAAAACTGAAAGGAGTGGGAAAGTCCAGAAAGTTCTCTAAATTTAGCCTCTACAGGCAGCTCCACAGGCACCACCTGCAGGATGCAGATAGCATCAGCAGCATTGACAGTGTCTCGAGTAAGTCTTGGTCTTTGCTAGAATGTATCTTGGTGACGTTCCATCCTTCCGCTGCTGGATACTGTGTACCAGTCTTTAAAACCGGTCTTTCTGGAATGGAGTCCTAGGAGCTATATCACCCTATTCGATATCCTGCCATTTTGTGGCTTTGTTGCCCTCATTTGGGAACAGATTTATTGTTTTATTCACATAAGGAGTCATGACAACCGCAATTCATACTTCTGGTGGTAGCTGAATGACTCAGCGTTTCTAACATAACGCCAAGTTATAAAGAAAAAAGAAAAGTTATCAGACGTCCTTCACTTTTCATAGAAGAAATCTCATTTCTCTTCCTATCCAGAAATATGTGAAGCTTTTATCTTCAAACATTAGATTTCCTACATCTTGTAAATTTGCTCTTTTCACATCTGCCTTAAAGCTCTGCATTTTCTGTTCACAGAATTTGTGACTGATTTTTTAGCCTTGCCTCGTTTTAAAAATGATTGAGCCTACTTTTCAGTTTAGAAAACTTGATGTATATATATTTCTTTGTAAAAAAAAAAAAAAACAGAAAAACAAACTCTCAACTTTCTCCAGGTTATTGTAATCACTGTAGAAGTCGTCAGAATTTAATCCATGGTCTAAAACCCCACCTGAAACTCTTTCACTCTTCCAGTAAGTCTGAGCAGGGGCTCGCTAGACCTGACGTGGGTAAGTGATGTATGAGGCAACAGAATGTCCTCAGGTGTCCGCTTTTGCTGCATGAGCAAAGTGAGTGTGTTTCTGGACTGGCTTTCTGTTTGCACCGTGTTCACATCCCTGGTGGTGTTAGAAATTGTAATCTGTAAGCTTTTGCAAGAACAAGGTATTTGAATAAGTTAATGAGGGCCTAAAATGTGGAGGTGGAGATGAAGAGGGATTTGGCAGTGGATCACATAGAGGAATAAGTAATGATCATAATGTATGACAACCACGGTAAAATCGGAAGCTAATTTATTGTGTGCAGACTACCTGGGACGACCCTGAGCACTGGTGGCGCTTGGTAGTAATAGTGTTATCTCCCTTTTTACAGATGAGGAAACTCAGGGTCAGAGATGATAAGTAACTTGCACAATGGTATTCCAGTTTATTAGCTTCCCAGAGCTCATAATTCAGATTTGTGATTTAGCAAAAACGCAGATTGCTACATCATGAGCATGCGGCTAAATTCCAAGGTCACAGTTCTAGTGTGCTATTTAGAAGACTGATGTAGAGCCCAGTTACCACAGCTGGATGTGAGTCACTTGTGGACCCTGGTGTTTCTCAGGGGCTCTGAGGGGAATACTGAGGAGGTGGGCCCTGGACCCTCCCACCTCTATTGGTACTTGCTTCAAGCAGAGAAATCCTGCTTCCATATATATATTGAAGTTCCATGTGAATTTGTGTTAAAAAAAAAAAAAAAGTAAGGGTCTACTATTAAAAACAGAAGGAATTTAAAGAGCACAGCTCTACATTTAAATTGTGTAATGACTTAAACTTCTATTGTCTCATAGGACTTGAAACCCCGAATTAAACATAGAGTAACTCTTCATGAGAAACTGAAACTGAATACTTGCTTGAGTTAATAACTTCCTTTCCTGAGGCTATAAGCTGAGTTAGCTTCTTTGTAATGTCAGTTTCACTTGCACGCAAAAGACCTTGATGGGGGTGCCTGGGTGTTATAGTCGGTTAAGCTCTGACTCTTGATTTCAGCTCAGATCATGATCTCATGCTCATGGGATCAAGCCCTGCATGGAGCCCAGAGTGGGGCTCTGTGCTCAGTGGGGGGTCTGCTTGAGATTGTCTCTCTCTCTCTGCCCCTACCCCCTGCTCTCTCTCTTTCTCAAATAAACAGATAAATCTTAAAAAAAAAAAAAAAAAAGACCATTATGAACTGGGCTCCTAGTGAACCAGTGTGGAGCATGCACACAAGATCACTATGGGTTAATTAGAAAATTCACTAAAATCAGTTCATAATGTACTGATACCATGATCATTTCTGTAGTATATATATTCAAAATGTATTTTGAATATATTTCTGTAGTATATACATTCAATATTTCTCAATATATATTTCTGTAGTATATATATTCAATTTATATTTGAATATATAATATATATTTCTGTATATAATATATATTTCTGAATATCTAATATATATTTCAGTATATACTGTAGTATATTTTTGTAGTATATATATTCAAAATCATTTGGCCATCTTCAAGATTTTTTTCTCTCAAAATGTTGCAAGAGGGAGAATTTCAAGTTGCAATGGCTTTGCTTGATAACTATGTTATTTTTAAACAGTTGAATTTTTTCCTCTTATATTCAAAAACTGTTTGCTGATCTTACTTTTTAAGCAAGATTAAATAAATGGCTGAGAGGAGGAAATCATTTTTGCAATTTTTTTTTCATTTTTGCAATTTAGTAAGACAGTGTTTCAACCCCGGATATCTAGTCATAAGCGATAAAGAATAGTAGGCTAAATCGTTCCTAAACTCTGTTCTCAGGGATGCAATAGTATAAGATGTATAAGACTTATTTTCTCCTGTCAAAGAGTTTATTATCTAATAGATAAGCATGAGTTTTAAATGTTTCACTAACCTAGTGCCTTAGTAATTCATCAGGGGGAGATACCCCAACTGGCAAGAGTTGCCAGTGAAACCTTGTCCACAAAGGTAAACCCTGATCCACAATTCTAAAATCCCAGTTTCAAAAATCAGAAGGTTTTTTTGAAAATATAACTCATTGGGGACCCGTTTTGGAACTGGCCCTGGTTATAGGCAAAAATTCAGTAGGTAGAGCCTAAGAAGGGAGAAAAACAGGCACCCTAGGTAGATGTTATATCTTAAGGCACATATATGGGAAATGCCAAAAGTGTTTATTTCAGCATCTCAGACGTAGGTGTGGAATGTGGTAAATACACAGAGGTCTACCATTTCTTACTCAAAATTCTAGGGGTCAGAGGTACTTCAGAAATTAGAAGATTCTGGATTTTAGAAAGGTAATGCAATACCTATACTTTATTATGTTATGCTGCTTGCAGGGTCCTGGAAATACCCTGTAAGGAAATCATTTATATTTGTTCAGCACCAGGTGGGATAAATAAAGATTACAATCTCTTGTCAGTTCAGGTCAGATTTTACTAACAAATGAGCTGTAAGAAAACATTTGAATTTTCAGAGCTTTTGGGTTTTGAAATTTTGGTTAAGGGATGCGTAAATCTGTGTATAGATTGGGTTGATGGGCTAGATCTGTACCTGTATATGGAGGGCCTTGAAAATCAAGCCGCAGCATTGAATTTCATCCACTAAATGTTGGAGAATCCCTGGGGGGTGAGAGGTGGGGGTGGGATTTGAAGAAGAGGGGCCGTGGGGGGGGGGGAGGTGTTAAGGGTGGTATTTTACTAAGTTACACTAGAGGTACAGGAAGTCTGACTAGCTTGTCCCAAGAATGAAGTAAATGGAAGAAACTTTTTTCCAAAGAGAGAATCAGCAGAATTTCATTAGGATTTGGGAAGTGGCAATCGGGAGGTAGGTGGAGAAGACAGCAAAGAAAAGAGAGGAGCCAATGGAGATTTCGAGGTTTGAGCTTGAGTAACTATGAACAGAAAGCAGAAATCTCCAGGGAAGGCTTGATTTTGTGAGGATAATAGTGATTCCTGTGTTAAACACTTTCAAATGCTGGTGCGACCAACTAGGTGGACGAGGCCAAGTGAGACATTGGAAGTGGCTGTACTTCTCAGAGCCAAAGGAGAAGCCAGGACTAGAGGGGCACATTTTGGAGAAGGTCGGGGAGAACTTTGGGAGAAGGAACTAGGAAAGTAGGTCAAGAAGGGGGGTTGGAGTAATGGTGTAGGGGATGCAGCCTTGGCAGGCAGGGTCTGGGCCACTGATGGATGAGGATGGCAGAAAACTGGCACGAAAACCTATGCCAAAGACAAGGCAGGTGCAGTCATGCAATCAGTTGGGAGCCCGATGCAGACCAAGGAGAAGCCCTCAGATCAGCACTGCTGATGTAAAAAGCCTCTCTTCCTACTTGTAGGTGCATATGCACTTCTGAGCAGTAATCACAGTAACTAGGAGTCCTTGGCTCTATTGCTTTAATATCTCATGTGTTCCGAGGAAGACCCTGATTTATTTGGAATAACTTAGGCCAAGATTATTTAGACTGAAACTAAAAACAAATTTGAATTACGAACAGGTTGGATCCAGTTAGAAGCAACATAATTTTCTGAGACTAGAATTTGCTTTGTTTTGTTTTTCTTATCATAACTGATTATTAGGTGAAAGTTAATTTTTAAATAAGTATATGTATGTAAATATAGAGCTTTAGCTTATATGTATATTATCTTACATATATATATATATTTTTTTTTTTTGGAATTTGACCCATTATTTATCTCATTTTTTGTTCCTGTTTTCTTTTACTTTTTTTTTTAACTACAAAGTGCCATGCTTACTGTAAAGATTTTACAGGTGAGCAAACAGATTACCAGTACTTTGGCCTTTAGTCTTAACAGAGCAGGAAAATCACTGGGAGAAGTCAATAGAATTCTGTTTTTAACCTTATTTAGTTTTGTTAATAATTAGCATGCTAAGGGGCGCCTGGGTGGCTCAGTTGGTTGAGCGTCCAGCTCTTGGTTTGGGCTCCGGTCATCTCAGGGTCCTGAGATGGAGCCTGGTGTCCAGCGCCGAGCTCAGCACAGAGTCTGCTTGGGATTCTTTTTCCCTCTCCCTCTGCCCCTACCCTTGCTCACGTGTGTGTGAGTGCGCGCGTGTGCACATGTTCTCTCTCTCTCTCAATCAATCAATCAATCAATCAATAAAATGTCTAAAAGAATAATTAGCACTTTAACACTTTTTTTTTTTTAAGAGGCGGGGAGGGGCCGAGGGAGATGAAGAGAGAGAGAATCTTAAGCAGGCTCCACACCCAGCCCAGAGCCTGTCGTGGGGCTCCATCTCACGATCCTGAGATCATGACCTGAGCCAAAATCAAGAGTCCAATGCTTAACCCACTGAGCCACCCGCGCACCCCCAGACACTTTTCTTTTATAGATAATTTCAGTAACCTTTGAGGGTTAATTACTCAGTTTGAGGTAGAATATCAGCAGTGTGTGTGGTGATTGTTTAAAAACTTGCACTCTGCAAATACTGACTGACTGCCTACTGAATACCGGGAGCTACAGCAAGCCGCGAAGTGACACTCTCCAGCCCTGAGGAGTTTACAGACTGGTGGGGGGCATCCTTACGTGGTTGTGTCACAGAGTCAGAAGCCCTGGGGCGTGCAGCTGCTGATGGTTCTACAGCACTGCTAGGGGTTGCCTCTCCCTCCTGGGATCTGCGAGGTAGCGGTAGGGCAGGTAACAGCTAATGTGGCTCTGGAAGGATGTGAAGTTGAGAATGAGAGGGAGGGAAGATCATTCCAGACCGAAGGAATAATGTGCCAGCCGCATGAAGACATAACAGACCATGCCTATCCAAATACTATGAGAAATATGGTGCGCCTGGCTTGGAGGATAAAGGCTCTGAGAGGGAGGTTGGCACCAGTTGGGAAAGAGCCTTCTGTGCACACTCAGCTTTTAGGATTTGACTCCCTGTAGGCAGCAGGTGATCTTAAAATGCTTTTAAGCCAACAGTGCATTTTAGAAAGACGGTTCTGGGATGTGCGGTGGTAGGGGCCAGTCCGCTAGTCTCACTGGGACGTGCTCCCATTTATTCATTCAACGAATAGTTTTGCATCCAGTGTCTTATTTGTTAAGTGCCTCTTTTGTGCCAAGTGCTGCATTTGTGATGTGTAGTTCTGCTCGTCTTCCTGCTTAGTTCCCTTTGTGGTCAACATAAATATACTAACTATTTAAGTCAAAGTATTCACCCTTTAGTAAAATGGTCCCAGCAGAGCTCTGCGTGAAACGTTGCAGTGGATTGCTGCTTTTGCACCTATGTGATCATAAGTTCTGTGTGTTGTTGTGATATTTTTTATGGATGTCATTTATGATGCTGGGAATGTAGAATGTGAGAGCCCAAAGATCTTAGATGCCATCCATCTAGGCCAAATTCTTCCTTTTATGTATAAAGAATTTCTGACCCCAAAAGATGAAGCTCAGTGTCCCTTAGCTTGACAATTCCAGGGCTGGCACAGGGGCTGCCTGCAGATTTGAGGTTCTTGCTTTTGAGTTGCAAAAGACAAGAATTATGTACTGGGTGTGCACCATATCAGCTGGGGAGAGCCAAGGGCATTTCTTTATGGCCTCTGCCTCTCACGTTTCTCTGCCTGACCTGGCTTTATTGCTCTTTCATTGTCCCTCCCAGTGAGTTCTTTATTCACAGTTAGCTCTGTGATCCGTTCTTCAGTCATCTGGTAGATGGGGAGAAGAATGTTGAATTTCACTGTCAAGTGATGAGCCTGGTTACAGCCCCAACTACCCACTAGTGATAAACTTGTGTACAGTGTGAAACCCTGCTAGCCCACAGCCTCAGATGGGATGAACACATGCTGCCCTAGTTCTGTGCCTTAAGGAGAACAGTTCAGAATTCCCTGGGTGTTTAATGGGCCTCCCCGCCACTCCCCCCCCCACACCCCCACCGGGGCCCACTTGAACACAGTCTCTGCTACCTTCACAGACACCAGCTCCATCCGCAGTTTGCAAACAGGCATGGGAGAGCTCCACGGGGAAACCAGGTTCTGGCATGGAAAGGACTACTGCAATTTTGTCTTCAAAGACTGGGTTCAACTGGATAAACCTTTTGCTGGTGAGTGCCATGATCATGGGTGGCTGCTTATATTTTGTTTTTTACTTGTCAGCATCTGACAGAGTATGCATGCGCAGGATATACTTTCCTTTGTTCTGCTTTGTTTTGTTTTGAATATTTGGTAAAACTTTGGAGACTATGATTCAGTCATATACCTAAGGACTTTTCCTCGTAGTTACAGTGAGAAAAGAGCATGAGATATAGCTTGCTGTTTGAGACCTCCAGGTTTCATCTAGGCATATTTTGGGGGTAATAATCTATAATTCTGCAAGAGATGGTGCCTTTCCTTTGATCCTCTCCTTTTCTGCCTATCATCTTTATCTTCCAGCATGAAAATGGCACATTTTCAGATTATCACTGTGCTTATATATCTAAGAGGAGATAGAGATAGAACTGTATACATAGCCTGAGGTTATTTCAACAGGACACAAAAGAAAAATGTAATATTAAGTCCACAATCTTAGATAATTTACGCCAACTCGCATCTTGCCTTGCCTAGTGATTGTCTCATACTAAGTGAAATGGACATATCCTGGGGGGAAGCCCATGGGGGACTGTGCGCCTCAGTGTGTATCTCTGTTTCCCTTGGCTATAAAGATATGGTTCCACACAAGCCAAGTAATATATGTGTAGTGAACATTACCACATTTCCTTTGACGGATCATGGTCGGGGTCAGTGCTGGAATCAGATGGCTCTGTCCCTGGCTGAGCAGTTAGTGATGATCTGTGCCTGGGGCACCTGGGCAGATTTCATTGACAGACACTCCACTCCCCGGATGCCATGGCATGACATCGCCTCTGCAGTCCACGGGAAGGCGGCTCGTGATGTGGCCCGTCATTTCATCCAGCGCTGGAACTTCACGAAGGTACATGGTTGACTTTATCACGATTCAGCCCACATAAAGAGAGAGAGCCTGGAAGAGGAGAAACCTAGAGGGTTGGCAAGAAGGTGCTGCGGTGACCCATCTGCTCCTGAGTGCCTGGTTGCCAGAGTGCCAGGGTCGGCGGGCAGAAGGAAAAGAAGACGTTCCTGAACTTTCCCACTGCAGACAATTCAGAGCACAGAGAGAGATAGATGCCACTTTCGGGGCCTATTGTGATCCTTTTCACATTTTGGATCCTCAGGGTTGGTTAAGCATCTGGTCTGTGCTGATGGTCAGCTGGAGGGCTATTGTAGGGGGGACAGGGACCTTGTTTGGATGAGAGAGCTCGAGCTTTCAAGTCCTCCCAGTCCTGGCATTGCGCTGGGGGGTTCACACCGGTCCAAGCTTCTGGGAGGTGGCTCTGAGCAAGGGGAGCAGTGTGAGAAGATGGGGCCATTTTCCTTTTCTTCAGACTGTGTCATATACCTTCATTACGGGAATAACTTAAGTACCTACCACCCAGGTGGCATTAAGGTTCCATCTTCTTTACTATAAATTATGACAAGGCATTAGTCTCCTTGATAATTTGGGAAAAAATTGTTTTATCAACAGCTTAGAATCTCACCTGATTTTTCATTTATGTAAGCTTTTATTTACATAAACTTTATAAATTTTTAGAAATAATGGAAATATTTTTTAAAGATTTATTTATTTTAGAGAGAGAGTGGGGGGTTGGGGAGAGGCAGAGGGAGAGGGAGAGAGAATCTCAAGCAGACTCCCCACTGAGCATGGAGTCTGAGAAATAATGGAAATGTTTTTAATGAAAATTGAGGGAGCATGAATGAATAAATGAAGGAATACTACTTTTAGCCTGTCTATGATTGGTTTTGGGATTTCCAATGCTTATATACTCTCTTCCTGGCAGGATAAACTGGTAAACCCCAGAAAGCTTTTCAAAAAGTATCCAACCTTTAACTCAGAAAATGTTTTTTGGGTATTTAGGTTAAAGAAGTAATCTGGAGATGCCTGGGTGGCTCAGTCGGTTAAGTGTCTGCCATCGGCTCAGGTCATCATCCCAGGGTCCTGGGATCGAGTCCCTTATCGGGCTCTCTGCTCAGCGGGGAGTCTGCTTCTCCCTCTCCCTCTGCCTGCCGCTCCCCCTGCTTGTGCTCTCTCTGGCAAGTAAATAAAAAAATAAAATCTAAAAAAGAGAAGTAATCTGATAGGTAATTTATTTTGATATTACTTCTAATAATTCTGATAAAATGAGAAATAACTGAAATGCACATTAATAAGAATTTATTTAACAAATTATGGTTCCTTATCATTTTCTTAGGAAGTTACTAAAATAGGATATACAGTGCTATACTGCTGTGACAAGGTATCTACAACATAGTAAGAAATCAGTTTACAAAAAAAATACCATTTTTTTGCCATTATATACCTCTATAACTCTAGGTTGCATTTAAGCTTTCTTTAAAAATATAAAACAATACATGCCCACTACAAAAGCTAAAAAAAAAGAAGGAGAAAAGGAGTTCTCTGCCTCCAGAAAATGGAAAGAACACAAAATAAATAATCTATTGCCTCTTCAACTAGAAACTCCACTGTTAATGTTTTTCTTTTTCTTTATCAAATGAATCTGAATTTCTTTTATAATCACAAAGTAGGGAGGAATGGAGCTATTTTCTCGTCTGGATCTTTTTTTTTTTTTTTTTAACCTGTTTTTCTTTATTTTAGATTATGAAGTCAAAATATCGATCCCTTTCTTATCCTTTCCTGCTTCCCAAATCTCAAACAACAGCCCATGAGTTGAAATATCAAGTGCCTGGGTCCGTCCATGCCAATGTACAGGTAAGGCTAGCTTTTCTTTTTCACCAAATGCCACTGAATAAAATTACTCTTACTGGATTAAGTGCCTAGTTCATTGGCTTCAGATTTCTCAATGAGGACAACTCCAAAGCAAATCTGAATAGACCTTTTAAAATTGAGTATTATATTTCCTATTTAAAGTGTGTGTGTTCCATTTATCCTCTTTTTAAAACTTATAATAAACACACAGTTTTACTTCCTTACCGCTTGTTACCTCTGTTACTCATCTTCTATTCTGCAGCGTATTCATCATTATCTTTACATGTACATCTCTTGTTTCACCTGTATTATCAATTTCTTTAGTGACACACTCATCTCTTTTATGCCTCTGTTCCTCCCACTGTAGCTATCCTAGGGTCTTATACTTACACTTATCCTAGAGTAGGTGATGGATAATCTTCTTAGTTGAGTCACTTTATAACTGAAATATAAAACAGTCATTGTTAAGAAGCCTTTCCCTTATGAGAGGGTCTCACAGAAAGCATGTGTATTCTCAATCGATATAATCTTTCATGCATAAGTTATAAAAACATCAAATGCTCAAGAAATTTTTCTTTTTTTTTTTTTTTTACTTTTTGTTTGATATTATCACTGGTAGGTTGCACAATGACTCAAGAGGGTTAATCAGTCTGGAATAGCTCATCTACAATTACAAAATATTTTTAAAAAGTTTCTTTGTCCTCCATTCATAACATTTGCTATAAAGGGTCTGGTTTTAGTTTCCTCAAAAATGTATTAAGTTTACAAGTAAATTAAGGATCTTTATGTCACAAGGATTCTAATAAATGTGTTCATAATTGTAAAATGTGTAAATAAATAAATATTCTTAGGAAAGGCCAGTCAAGGAAAGGCTTGTTCTGTTATTCCTTCTGAAGTGACCCTAGCAACATGATACCCTGTGAACCAGGGATTGATACCGGGTAAGCACCAGGAATGTGGCTGAAACTTCACATGTAAGAAGCTAGTTATAGTTCAATCTAATTTTAGTTCCTAATTAGCCAAATGCCTTTTAGAGGCTCTTTTAATAGAATATGGAATTTGCTTAATGAAGTCACATAATTTTACCACATCCAGTTGAAGCATCTCAGATTACACGTAGGAAAATTAAGACCCAATGGGGCTATGAGACTTGTCAAGGGTCACCAGCTGGTTGTAGGTAGAAGTGGAGCTTGAAATCCTGCTCTAGTCCATTGTTACCTCACCTCAAATATCTTGAGATCATCAGGGGCAGAACTAGGATGGGCAGCCTTTGACGTTGCCTTTTGTTCAAGGTCATCACTATCAGCATCAAAAATACTGAGTAAGGGCACCTGAGTGGCTCAGTTGGTTAAGCATCCGACTCTTGATTTTGCCTCGGGTCATGATCTCAGGGTCGTGAGATCGAGCCCCGCATTGGGCATGGAGCCTGCTTAAGATTCTCTCTCTCCCTCTTCCTCTGCCCCTCCCCAGCCCCCCTCTTAAAAAAAAAAAAAAGATTGTTTAAATAAAGATCCAACAGTCTCTGCTACTGACATCACTAATACAGATTTGTATAATCTGGACATGGATTCTAGTGAAATGCCTAAATCAGTTACTTTGTACTATATACAAGTAGTATTTGTATCTAAGAAATAAAAAGACATTTCAGGCCATAGATCAAATAAGAGAACAATCAAAAGATAAACCACTTGAGAGAAATACCTATAGCAAATATTTAGTTATCCCAGGCTACAGGAGACAATTTAAACTTAGAGGCACAGATATATGTATGTTCATATGTAAGTTAATGAATATTTTATGAACCTATTTAATTTTATTCTACTTGGAGGGAAAAATTACCCATGCTATAAGATAAAATAGGAGGCTTCATGTTAAGAAAACAAGAGAATTTAAGATTTGAGATGGCTCAATAAGTCAATAAGTTGACTCAGCGATCAACTTATCAAAGTTAGCAGATGCGAATTAAGCATCTGTTGAAAAGGAATTTCTGGGAATTCTGTATTTTTGTGATCAGCAAAGGAAGTTGTATGCTGGTGTTGCATAAACATATGTCTTCTCTTACCTGTGGGTAAAGCCCTGTTTTATATATTCTCATCCAGTTCCCTGGCATAGTAGATAGATACTCTGCATGTCCACTCTATCAAATGCCTCCCTTGAGTCACCTTCTCTGCATCACTGAATGTGGTGTTAGAGATGGGGCTGGATCCGTGATATCTCCTGATATGCTTCTATGTTCATCCTTGATATGCTTGATATGCTCGGGTGGCCTGGACTCAGGAACCTCTAGAGCCAATTGATTTGAAAGGAAGTCTACCAGGACTTCCTCATTAATTCATTTATTCAGTCAACACGTTTATTAAGTGCCATATGTTTGCACAGTGAAGTCATCAGTGCATACTTGGGTGCTGAGGAAGAAGACACAAGTTCTCGGCCTCTGGAAGCCTCATTAGCTGGGGGAGAGAAAGCTGTGACGTTGAACTATTCAGTTAACAAGGCTAGGTGTGGTTCAGGACTAACTGCTAGCTTGAAAGTAGGGCCCAGCATGCTGTGAGAGTCTGGCAGTGAGGACGAGAGAACTGGGTGTCTCCGGTAAGTAATAAGCCTGCATGCTCCGTGGATGGTAGATCTGACTGCCACAGACCATTTGCTCTTGAAGAGTTGGCAGGTGAAGTTGAGACGGCTTAAGGCCAGATTGGGGATGCCCCCGAGTGCCAGCCTGGTTAATTTGGACCTGATCCTGGAGGCATTAGTGAACTTTGGAACTTTTTTTTTTCTACCTAGGATGCAGAATGATATAGGAATGCTTTATGAAAATTAACCCAGATCAGAGTTTACAAACCTGGTTTTACCTGTGAAATGCTAATAGCTATGCCACAAGAAAAATTTCCATGGACAGAGAAGTTTTGGCAGATTTTCTGAGCACAGGATTTCTTAGGGCCCTTGTTATGCTGATATGTATCATGGAATCACTAAGAATGAATGTGCTGTGAGAATTTCCCAAGCCGAATGGATGGAGGGTCTCTCATTTTGTCACACGTCTGTTTCCATCTCTCTGAATAAACACACTTGGGGGACCTAAAGGTTGTACATACGAAGAACTTAAACGAGAAAGAGAGTGAAAGCAAGGACACCAGTGGGGAGTCTGTGGTTGTAATTCTAGCATATACAGAGTTCGCGTTTGTAAATTAGTATTCTTTTTCTAGAAGAGGACTCCCCCATAATTTAAGAAGTGTTACTCGTAGTCAGGAGATATTTTTCAGAACTGCCAAAATCACTCCAGTTGTGAAAACAGTGGGCACAGTGCCAAATTTTTGAAGTCAGGAAAGTCTGAGAGGACCAGAAACCAAAAAAAGAAAAATCAGTGTGCTTCATTTCTCCTTTTCCGTAAAGTTCTGACCACGGTGTTGTTTCACTTCACTTTATTTACTGGCTCTCCATGTTATTCGTCTTGTTCTAGACATTATTGTTTTCAAGTCATGAGTGAGTAGAGCTCAGAGGCCCAAAGCAATAATCTAGCTGAATCCGTGGTTTTCCAGAGAAGCCAGAAGGGAGCTGGGAGATGGGACCTGGTGTGTTGTAGGCAACTATACAGAGATCATAGGGTTGGTGGTGAGAGCTAAATTAATCCATGCAACAGCACTTAGAAAGTGCACTAGTTTGGATTATATCCATATTAGCTTCAGTCCTCAAGCTCTCCCTAGTGTTTTCAAGAGTTTGGAACAAAGCAGTTGACATTTTTCTGGGTGGGTCACAAGGATAGTTCTGGATACAAAATCCTTATACCATATATTTGTTGAAATGGAGAGAAAGAGCATTTGACATAATAAAGTAGAGAGTAGGTAAGATTCATGTTCTTTTGTTTGCAAAAGGGAACCCAGTGATTTAATTCTTTTAACACAAAAACATTGGGTCCAGTCGTCCTTGGTAATTCCAACACCAGCTGTGATGCTCAGCTACCGCAGAAGGCTTGACACAACCAGCAAGGGCAACTAGTTAGGGAGATTAGAGCCAGGGCGGGGGGGGACAGAGGCTGCCCCCACCAACATGAATTTCTGCTACTAAAAAAAAAAAAAAAAAAAAAAGTCATCCGAACCTGAAAGCTGACTTCAGCAACTTGCACCAGCACTCTTAAAATAATCTTGGGTGTTTCCCCTTGGAGCTGGGCATTCTCAGAAGCCTGCCAAAAACATTTAGAGAAGACAAAGCAGGAGAAAGGCTTGGGGCCGAGGGGTGGAGGAAGGATGGCTCTGAAACCACTTATGCACAGATTGTATAAAAGAACTTCTTTTCTCCTGAAAAAGAACAAACTGGGTGCCCGAATGCTATCATTGCCATGTAAGGTAAATGACCAAGACAGAGGACGTTCTGGCACGTCTATCAAGGTAAAAGACAATGCCTGATGCCAAATTAGCATCAATATGGAATCAATATAGGGAACGATCCTCTTTATTAAATGGGGTAGCTTATTGTAGAAAAGCCAGTCCTTAGACAATCATTGTTGAGAAGTCCTGCCAAATTGAGGGAAATGATTCTGCTGGAGTTACGTCTTTGATCTCTCTGTCTGTTAAAAAAACAGAAGGGACGCCTGGGTGGCTTAGTCGTTAAGCGTCTGCCTTCGGCTCAGGTCATGGTCCCAGGGTCCTGGGATTTCCCTGCTCAGCGGGAAGCCTGCTTCTCCCTCTCCCACTCCCCCTGCTTGTGTTCCCTCTCTCGCTGTGTCTCTGTCAAATAAATAAATAAAATCTTTAAAAAAAATTAAACAGAAAAGAAACTATACAGGCGAGTGTGTGAATGACATGCAAATTATATTAGTGGAAAAACTTGTCCTTACACTTGGGGAAAATGGCCACATGACTCTCTGCAGGATGTCAGTGTAGGAATCAGTGTAGATTTCAAAGGACCACAACATGTTTTGTGTTGTGAAAAAATAAAGTAGATAGGGAGGGGTAAAAGAAAGCCATTTAACTTCCTCTAAGGCAGTTTCCTAACATGGAGGCTGTATGCCCATTTATGGACCAGGTCTCCATGCAGTGGAATTTCTGTGCTTGCTGCTGTGGTTCTTGGAGGGAGAAGCCCCATGAACAGGGGGGTGTTCACTCCCTGCCCAGCACTGCACTAAGCTTTTTGTGGATGATCTCATTCAATATTCACCAGCCTCTAAACTGGACTCCTGTGTGACCTCTTATTTTCACAGATGAGGGAAGTAAGACTTTGGGAAGTTAAAATAGCCCAGGGAGGAACAGTGAGGCTGAGGCTGGATGCTGAGCAGTCTGTCACCAGGGCCCGAGGTGGTAACCATGAGGCAGAGGCTGTTTCTGACGAGATCTGGCTGGTTGTAACCACCAAGGGCTCCAGCAAGGCAAAGCTGCATGTCGAGATTGCCTTTTAGGATCCTCTTCTGTTGCAGCAGCTCCAAGTCCTCCCTCAACTCTCTTCTTGCTTCTTCCTGGCTCCTGAGAGCCCCTATCTACAGCTTTCTTCCTAGGACTTCTCTCCCCTTAAGTTTTATTTTCTTCCTCTCCTTCAGCCTCAAGGTTAACTTTTCCCTGTTGTTCGGGCAAAAGGATCATCCCATGTTGTGTGGTGAATGGATGACACTCAATGGACAAAGTGTGATTAGAAGAAAGGGCTTGATAGTATGAGGTGAATTCTTGAACTAAGTCCATTTCTTGGTGCTCCTGTTCTGCTTTTCTCCTTGGTACAGACTGGAAGAATAAGGCCCAACGGTCTGAGTGCTTCCCTTGTCTCCTGACCCGTGCCACTGATGGGCTTCTCCATGGAAGCCAACTTCTGCTTGAGAGACATATAAATGGTCCTAGCAGTCTCTGGTCCATGACTGACTGACTTGGGAGTTTAGGGAAATACAAAGAAATTAAATATGTGCTGAATTTATAGGGAAGAAAAGCATTATAGTAAGAGAAAAGGAATTTGGGACAAATACTAAGGAAGTTTTCAAAGTTTTCCTTCAAGAAGAAATTTCTGAATTTCAATTCGTATATTCAAATTGGGCCCACCCTATATAAGGGAATCGGGCTTGTGGATGAAAGAGAAGGTTATCTTTCTGTCTGCCTATCTATCAATCTATCTATCTATCAATCAATCAGTCTGTCAATCAACCTATCAATCTATCAGTCTATCAACCTATCAATCTATCTATCTATCACTCTATCAATCTATCAATCTATCTATCAATCTATCAATCAATCAACCTATCAATCTATCAGTCTATCTATCAGGCTATCAATCTATCTATCTCTCTATCTTTACGAAACGATTTCAACCATTCTGTACATGATTCAGTGCTCACCATGGTAAATGTGGTCACTGTCTGTCACTATACAGCATTATTACAATATCATTGACTCAATCCTCTGTACCATCTCTGTGACTTACTTATTTTACAACTGGAAGTTGGACCTCTTAATCCCCTTCACCTATTTTGCCTGAGAAGGCTGTCTTCTGAGTTAAAAAATAGGACAGGGTACAAAGGAAAATGACAAGTTCCAGTTACGGTTTTGAGGCTAAAACATAAAATTAGAAAGGTGGGGTTTTTTTTATATGCTTTAAAATTGTGTATTCAGACTTGAGGTTTGAAAAGTGAGGGTTAGATTTGATTCTCCGTATTCTTGGGGCAGTAAGATAAGGCCCATTTCTGCATGTGTAAGCAAGTGTTTGAGGCTTGTCTGAGTTAACAGAAAAAAAACAGAAATGCAGGACAAGTTGGTCAGACCAGTTAAGAAAAAGGAGAGAGTAAATCCTAAATTTAAAACAGAAGGGAGTCAAGTCACAGTGTGTTTGACCTGTTTGGCTGTTTACAAACTTTCTAGACCATCAAGCATTTAAAGCAGTTGAGTTGAAGTGTATATCACTTCAGGGTCCCTCATTCCAGGGTAGAGGCAGGACCAAAGGGAAATCTGTATTTTTAGTTTTTCTTGTTGTGAGAGTTGTTGACTAATTAGAATAATAGTAAGAGTAATAGAAGAGTAATACCAAGTTTTTTTTTCTGTATTACTTGAAAGATATGTTCAAATTTAATACATAATGATGACTTTCTAAAATTAAATGAGTTTTCATTGTGAGAAAACAATAGAGTTTGGACTCAAACAATGGGATTGATAATGTTGACTCCCACCCCAGGAGGGGGCCACCTCCCACATGCTGAGGTTTAATGGGCGTCAGGCTCCCCCCACCCCACCCCCCACGTTGCTTATGCTCTCCTTCAGTTTCTTCTTTTGGCTTACAAATGTCCTTATTTTAAACGTTTAAGTGCCTCTTTAAGGGAAACATTTACCAGTATCTTTCACAGGAAAGATGGCAAATGCGTGACTTGCCTTTTCCTTCCTGGAGCTGTCCGCCGTCCATCTTAGTAGCTAGCTTTCCTCCCCAGTGTGTCTCCTTCCAGGGAGCCTCTTTTTGGCATAGCTGCCCAGGAAACTACTTCAAACATCATGATTAGACTTGAAACCTGTTTGGCAGTCCTCATTTATATCTTATGTTAATTAGCTTATTAAATCTTTAAATCGGGGCAAATTTGGAAAGTGAAAAAGGAAAGAAAAGTATAAGGTTTCTGGATTTGAGGGGAAGACTGACAAGTGCCACCAAAGGTGGTATATAAACTAAGCCTGTAAGTTTTTAAAGGTAGAAATCCTATATATCAAATATCTACTAGGTGCCCCGTAACGTAGCTCTGTGTGTTTATTATGCTGTTTGTTTCTTCGCCCAGCAGCGTGGCACACGCTGCGTGCGTGCGTGCGTGCGTGCGTGCGGGGGGGGGAGGGTGGCCGAGAGAGAGAGAGAGATCTCAGGTGTACAGTGGCGGAAACCAAGCCTGCCTGATATTAAAATGATTTGTTGAAGGTGAAAGAGCTAGTAAGGGCCGAGCTGTAGCACAGATCTCCAGAGTTCCTATCTGTCCAGCATACTCTGCCATTTTATACATTGTCTCCAGAGTTCTGTAGAACCCGATCAATAGATCAGTACGTGTAGCAGAGGGGAAGAACCTTTTCAAGGTAGCCTGCGTTTTCAGGGCTATGCCCCTCCACAACCAAATTCAACATAAATTTGGGAGTACTAACAACTGAAACTTTTATTTGTTCAGAACTTTGTCACTTCTACTGATAGACAATAATGCAGTTCCTTAGAGATGATGTGAAATCAAGATATTTTCCCAGTGTGGGTCATATTTATTTAAATTTTCCTTGTGAGTTTTGAGATATTTGACTATTGCTACTCACAATTAAACTTTCCAATGGCATGTATTCATCTGATAAAATTAAACAAGTGTTTTGAGAGAAGCTATTTTGTAATAAATACCTCATACTAAAGAGTAAGATTTTGAGGATAAAATCAATGATGTTAGTAAGTACTAGTTTGAATTTCATGAGTGCTATAGATGCAAATTTTAAAGTTATTGATTAGATCAAGAATTCTGTGAGATCTTTTATATATAATAGACATAAAATCAATTACATACTGGATCACTTTATAGATTCCTAATAATATGGAGCCATTCATTTTGTTTTTAATTTCGGTTGACCTCATGAGAGACAGTTTCAATATTCATTTCAAATCAAGAAGAGCAAATCTATTTTTATAGTGATTGTTTTGCAACATCATGGTATTAAGGAAAATCAATCAATAAATATTTACTGAGCACCTACTGTCTGTCCACCATTGTACTGCAGTCATAGTTAGACTACTGGAAAAAGTGATGAATGGTGGTTCTTAGTTTGCAAGGCTTGTATGTCCTCTGGTGCACCGTCCCCGGCACAGCCACAGTCTCTGCTCAGCTCCGACGTGATGTGCCGTAGCTCGAATGCATCCTCTAATGTTCTTATTAGTAATAGCAAACACTTATATACCGCTTACCAGGTAGTAGGCCTCCTGCACACTTCATAGTAATTCATCTAATCCTCTTTATAACCCTATAAAATACATATGCAGTTTAATAGAACAGAAATCTGAGGCACCAGGAGGTTGAGAAACTTGACCAAGATCGAAGCTACTGAGTGGTTGGGCTGAACTTTGGACTAGGCAGTCCCGCTAGGTATCAGTGTACTTAACAGATACTCAGGTATCTGAGCTGGAAGCTCTTAATGTAATCCAGGTGGGAGCAGGTGAGTGTCTGGATAGAGGGAGGCAATATGGATGAGACAGGTGAGCAATGAGGAGGCACACCAAGAATCAGTCAGCTGATTAAAGGCAAAGCCAAGATTATATATCTAAATGAACCTATTTGTGTTTTAAAATGTATTAATCTGAACACTTCCTATTAGGGGGAAAAGGAATCAGCACATTGTCAAGTCAGAGCTAGGGTGACCCTATCGTATGGTTCAAAACAGGACACTTTAGAGAGTAAAAGGGGTACTATTAACAAATTCACCAGAACAACATTCTGATGTAATTGTGGAACCATTATGGAAAAAGAATACCAATGGTCACCCTACTCGTAGCCCCCAAAAGAGGTACTCTGGGATACCCTTTGTAGAAACTACATTTTATGATTTCCAGTTTTGAATGAAAATAATCCTGGGTGGATGAAGATATATTCAGGGCTTGACTTCTAACCAGGCTCCTTTCTATGGATTATGTCCAGGGACCAGTGTCCCACACACCTCCTCTGCTTGGGCCCACACATGACACCCAAGCCCCTGTAATCATTCAGTTGTGTAGAAGAAAAAGGATTGGTTTCATTTTATGACTACATCTGGCATCATTCTCAATTGTTTGCTCATTTCTGATTGCTGCCTTGTAGTTGCTCCGCTCTGCTGCTGATTGGTCGGCTGGTATAAAGTACCATGAAGAGTCCATCCATGCTGCTTACATCCATGTGATAGAGAACAGCAAGTACTATATCTATATAGAAGTAAGTCCTGCTCCTGTTATTTAGTATGACAACCTGCCTTCCCGTCCCGTAAGTAGCTTACAGAGACTGCAGGGTCCCCAGACTCAGGATCTGCTGCAATTAATCGGCGTATGTTGAGATGTGAATTCAAGTGCCCTGAAATTTTACCTCCCCAACATGCCTGACATGCACTTTGCATTTTCATTAACTCAGGACTCTAGTAGGGGTCCCCCAAGTTCTTGTTATTAAAGTGTGTCAACTCACTGTAATATTATTAGCCAGAAATACCACACACGGATGAGTAAGTTTTTATTTGTCTTTAGTTGAAGGGTCTAAGTGTGAGGCGTGTGCTGTTTCAGGAGAGCACACACAAGGGTAAGTTGCTAAAGTGGAGACCGCTGGATGCCACTGGTTTGGCATTATTGGAATAGGGAGCGTGCAGGGAAAGAAACGTGGAAAAGGAAGATCTGAGAATATTGAGGGCAAGTACCACCTCCTTCAATCCTGTACGAATCATTGTTCATTTTAAAGCGTGGTCAGATCCCAGCGTTTGTTCGGAGAAGAGGAGAAAACCTAGGGACACTGCATTTAGTTTGGGAACCTTAACTGAACTTCAAAGTAGATACAAAGCTAGCTCAGAGCACGTGGAAAATCCTGAAAAAAATGAGAAGGCACAATTTGTACAAATACATCAGAGCACATCTCTCTTCTTTATTTTCATCTTGTCTTTCTCATTGACTTTTTTTTTTAAATGTGTGGAGGGAGATTGGTTTCCTGGAGAAAACCATCCTGGGCTATGTTCCTACCCCTCCCCTCCCCCATACAGTGACCAACCCCGCGAAGGGCAGATAGGAAAGAATTAGAGCTTTGTTTATTTCACAGGCCTGGAGAAAGAGAAGCTGATTTTAAAAATTAGCAGACTACGTGCATTACAGTATCCTGGATGGGACTACGCAACAGAAAAAGGACTCTGAATATCAGAGTCTGGAGCTTTGCAGTACTAATACGATTAGTATTATTAATTTCATCAGTTATACCATCACAGTAGAAGATGTTAACAGCTGCCTCATCCATTACCCAGAGTCCTTTTGCTTTATCTCTTTTTAATAGTGTTAGGTCAGCCTTTCTAATGAGTACTGCCACAGTGCTAAATGAGGTCCGTAATGCCATGTGGATACACATGGCTGTGGGCACAACCCTGGTTGTTACACCTCTAGCCGAGCTAAGTGGTTGGCGTCTACCCTGCTCTGCCCAGAAAAGGAGAACAGGCTGTGACATGTGGCCAGTGAGTGCTTATAGCCGCTGAGGAATGTGAAGCTTCTCTGTAATATGAATTCAGAAAAACAAACATGGTTTGGTTGCCACCGAAATTTTTATTGTGTGATGCCTTAAGGGAAAACACATTCTCAAATGAGTTCCCGCAGAGTGTCTCCTGGTAAGTTTGTCTTATGGAGGCAGTTTAAAGATTTATACTTAAGTATAAAAACATGTAAACTAGTAAAAATGATGATGTTGCAAAGGGATGAGAACCATAGTTTGAGTCATTGCTTCTATGTCTCTTTAGGATGATTAGCAAAGTTTACTTTTTGATGATTATACTTATAAATTACAGGTGTATTATAACAATTTATTTAAGTATGTAATAGTGATTATATTTGTACCTAATTACTGACCTTCCTTTATGCAGCAACTAAATCTTTTATACCGTTATGATAGTAACGTTGTACCCGGCTTTTTTAGGAAGAGTTTTAAACAGTGTTTTATAGGTAAATGAATAGTACAAATTACTTAAAGAAAAAAAGAAAAACATTTCTTATTCCAGTTTATTGGTTTATGAAACATACCTCCTTAAAATAGAAGTTCAGAAATAATAAGTGACCCAAACAAATGAGATGAGGCAAAAGCAGATACTAGGAAATGATAGAGAGTGGGTGGAGAATATTAGACCAGGGTTCTGCCGTCTACCCTGCTAGAAAGGTAAACTTAACATGAGACAGAAAATTTACCAGTATAGGATTTTAAATCATGAGCATTTACACAATACATGAATACATAAACCTAGGGTCCCTACTGATTAAATTTGGAATGTTCCTACCTTTCTAAAATGTCAGCTACAAAGAAATCACAGGATGAAATAATAGTGTAGCCTCCACTGGACTAAGATATGATATGTGATATTACCTAGAAATGCATGAGACCCAAGGTGAGATGAGGCTTCTTTTATTCTCAGTGTCATTTACTTTCCTAAATGATTTTAGTAATAAGAACATGTCTGCTATGTGAAATTTTTTTTTTTTAAACATCAGGGTAGTGTTTGTTACAGAGCACGCTTTCCATATATATATCTATTACAGAGATAAGAAAGACTTACAGATGACTCTCTTTCTTGTAGAACCAGTTTTTCATAAGTTGCGCTGATGACAAAGTTGTATTCAACAAGATAGGTGATGCCATTGCTCAGAGGATACTGAAAGCTCACAGGTAACGTTTTGGCATTTGGGTAGGAGTGGTTACTGCAAATGTTCGTGCATTTACTGCTAAAACAACTTTTGAAAGCCCATTTTAAAATACTATCTTTTCCTAGCAGGCAGAAATTAGGTTCAGGTAGCAGTAGGTTATTGGTTCCTTCAATCTGATTTCAGTTGCTGAGAATTTTGAGTCCATTTTTGAAGCAGTCAGAATTCTTCCAGGGCGTTCTTCATTTTTTTCCTGGCCGGTCTCTTTCCCACGCTGATAGAGCTGTGATTTGATTTATTTAGTGGCAGACAGTGAACTGTGTTCACTTAAAAAATCAAAGCAAAATAGTCATATAATTTTTCCATTGGTTATATTTAAATGCTTGTTACCCTCTGTCTTATTTCTTCAGCTCATGGGATTATTTTTTTAATAACAACGTTATTAAAATATAATTCACATACCATACAATCCAGTCACTTAAAGTGTACAATTCAGCAACTTTTAGCATATTCCCAGAGTTGTGCAACTATACCCAATCAGTTTTAGAACATTCTCATCACCCCAGAAAGAAACCCTCTATCTGTTAGCAGTCACTGTCTACTTCTCCTTATTTTATCCTCTTGCAACCACTAAACTACTTTCTTTCCCTATGGATTTGCCTAGTCTGGGCATTTCATATAAATGGAGTCATACAATATGTGGTCTTTTGTGACTGACTTCTTTCACTTAATTTGACGTTTCCAAGACACAGCTATGTTATAGGATGTTAACAGTATTTCATTTATATTTATTGCCAGGTAATATTCCATTTTCTGGATATACTATATTCTGTTTATCCATTCATCAGTTGGTAGATATTTGGGATGTTTCCAGTGTTTGGCTACTATGATTAATGCTGCTGTAAATATTCTGTATTAGTTTCTATGCAGACATATTTTTATTACCCTAGAGGTAGAATTACAGGGTTATATGGTAATTCTATGTTTAACATTTTGAGAAGCTGCCAGAAGGTTTTCAAAAACAGCTACACCATTTTACATTCCCATAGTGTATGAGGGCTCCAATTTCTCTGTATCATTGCCAGTACTTACTATTATCTCTCTTTTGGATTATAGCCATCCTAAGAGGTATGAAATGATATCTCATTGTGGTTTGGATTTGAATTTCCCTCATGACTAATGATGATGAGTATTTTTTTGTTTGTTTATTGGCTATTTCATGTATTATCTCTGGAGAAATATATGTTCACATTTCTTGTCCATTTTTTAATTAGGTTGTCTTTTGTTGAGTTGTAAGAGTTCTTTATATAGTCTAGATACAAGTATCATATCAGATTTATGACTTGCAAATATTTTCTCCTATTCAGGGTGTTTTCTTTTATACTTTCTTGATAATACCTTTTGAAACACAAAAGTTTTTAATTTTGATAAAGTCCAGTTTGTCTGTTTTTTCTTTTATTGCTTGTGCTTTGATGCCATAGCTACAAAATCACTGCCTAATCCAAGATCAGGAAGATTTATACTTCTTTTCTCCTAAGAATTTTATAGTTTTAGTCCTTACACTTAGGTCTTTGATTCATTTTGAATCATTTCTCATACATGGTGTGAGGTAGCAGTCCCACTTCATTCCTTTACATGGGGATTTACAGTTGTTCTAACACCATTTGTTGAAAAAACTGTTCTTTCTCCACTGAGTTGTCCTGGCATCCAGACTACTTCTTTTTACGGCTGATCTTAGCTCTGTGTAAAAGGCAACAAAATAAACAACACCATTACATTTTATTATTTCAATTCCTTGAACACATGCAGTGGAGAATGTTAAGTACATACACATTTGGGGATTAAAACATCGTTTTACTTCCAGTGTCACATGGCACTTAAATTTCTTTTCTTTTTTTTTCTCCATATAATATGTGGGGATTTTTAGATCTAAGAACATTTTACAACGGTAACTACCAGTATTTTATATGATCGGTAGTTTCTAGACCCTTACTGAATCTTCACAGCTACTCTTGAAAGTAGATCATATAGTCCTTGTGGTTGTTACTGTTATTATTGTCGTTGCTGTCCCCATTTGTAGAGTTAAAAGCTAAGATTCAAGAGGTGATGTGGCTTGACTCAGCCACTAAAGCAATAGGCAAAAATGGCTTTGAGCCCGAGCCTTTGGACTTCCAACCCAGTGCCTCTCCCCATACCACATAACTTCAGTCCATTGACAGGATTTAAGACCCCTTCAGGGTTGCCACAACTTGAGGCAAGTGGGTTGGGCCTTTGTTGTCCCCTCCTCCCACTAACCAGTCATCAGGTACAGGCTGACTTGAGGAAATGAGCATGACCTTGGGTGAGGGCGAGGAGGGCAAATCCTGGAGAAGGACTTCACTGTGAGTAGCCAGCAGCCAACACTCCCAGTGGGAAGGGAATGGCTATCTTGAGCCCATGGTGAGGGCATTTAGGCAGCACATCACAGTACCCACCACATCCTGCAAGGTGTACAGTAGATCTTGCCCTTTACTACACATCAAAATCACCATTGGACTTTTTTTTTTTTTTTTAAGATTTACTTATTATTTTAGAGAGAGAGAGTGCAGGAGGGTGGGGGGCAGGGCAGAGGGAGAGAGAGAGAATCTTAAGCAGACTCCATGCCCAGTGTGGAGCCTGACGCAGAGCTCGATCCCATGACCCTGAGATCAGGACATGAGTCGAAATCAAAGACGCTTAACTAAATGAGCCACCCAGGCACCCCTCACCGCTGGACTTTTACAGAAATCCAGAGAGCTGGACTCAATCCAGACTTGCTGAGTCAGAATTTCCTGGAGTGGGGCCCAGGCACTTGTGTTTCATAATGGTCCACGGGTAACTCCAGGGCACAGCCAAGACTGCTTAGTACTCACGGAGAACAGCACTGCTTAGAACTCAGAGAAGAGCACGCATGGCCCTAAGTATTAATGACGATCTGTGCTTTTCCAGATGACCTCTATCTTTTGCCTTCTCTCGTACTTGTTTCAAGAAAGTTACCATGGGATCTGTTTCTGAGATGACTTATAAACAGCTTTGTTTACAGTTAAACATAACACATACACGCAAAGATTTCTTGCATCATGCTGGTCTCTTAATTCTGTGGGTCAATTTATGTCTAATTTACAAAATTAAATTATCTTCCTGTCAACTCTTGCATTTCATTGATACAGGAGTATCCACTTTATCTATAAAGCACATTTGACAAAAGAGAAAACTATTTTTTTCATGAAATTGAAATGAGTTGCTGAAATCCATTAAGCGGACAGATGAGCTCACTGGGCTGAGCGGCGAATCATGAATATTGTAACCGTGATCAGCCAATAAGGAGAGTAGGATGAATCTTAGCTTCACTCATTCAAGTTATCAGTTCCTTGTAGTACATATATTAATAAGTACCTGTAAGATTTGTTTTTAAAGGGTTTGGGATCCTGAAAGAACATTTTTCCTTAGCATATTGTCTTTTAAAATCTGGACTTCTTCTGAAATCATAGTATTTCAGGGCTGGAAGGAACTTTAAGATCCTGTGAGCTGCTCCTAAAAGGAAAGGGGGTCTACGGTGAGAGAGCACGGGAGGGTAGCATCTGCTACAGCCTGTGTCTCACACTTGGAAGTTCACAAGGCTCATTAAAGATGCAATTTCAAGCCTACTTTGTAGAAAATGGGAAATGAGTCCACTGAATTTCATATTAACCGTGCTATTTAGCTCTGATCTCTCCATCGTCTCCCTTTCTTTGACAATCACATTTCAGAGGGTAGGTATTATCACACATAAAACTTTCCGTGGATACACACATGTTATCCTGGAAATATATTTTGCATTTTCCCCCTTCTCTGTAGCCCCACATTATTGTTCATCTCCTGTGTTCATCGTAATGGTAAAATATGTTTTCATTTAATAATTTAGGATAATCTTAGGAATAATTTAATAATCTTAGGAAAGGAGCGGTGGGATTCAAGAACTCATCTTGCAGCCTGCCTGCAATGCTCCCCACCCCCCTTTCACTGAGGGCCACTCTGTGCCATGCCCATGTTCACCCCCTCTCTTCCTTCATTGACTCCTCTGTGCTCCACTCTTCTGAGACTCAGAACTTCCTGCCAATGTCACATGCCTAGCAACAAGTATAATTTTGGCTGTTGGAAAAAGAATAGAATCTAGTACAAAGCAGACGGAGGGAAATGACAGTCAGCATTCAGCCAGGCCTGACCAAGGAACACAGGCTCTCTTCCAGGTCCCTCCCACCCTGGAGAGATCAGAGTCTTTTAATTGCCAACTCCTTTGACCGGGCTGAGACTTTATTTTTCTGCCAGTGCTAGAATCCAGGGAACACCAGTTCTCTGCTTTCCTCACTTCCTCCTGGTTCCGCCTCAACAGCTATAATGCTTTGCAGAAACAGGTTTTTGCAAAGACTTCATGCTCTGATCCATGACCCAGAGCCTCAGAACATTGTTCATCCCGTGGCGAACCAAGAGTAGCTGTGGGAATCTCTGCAGAAAACAGAAGGAAATAGGAAATAAGGAAAACTGTCCTGGAGGTGAGACTGGCTCTCAACCCACTGGAAGCACGTCTTTGACAACTCAAATCTGACTGCAGATCAGGGAGAAGAAATCATCTGGTTTATACCATGTTTGACTAAGCCAAGAGAAAGAGGACCAACTGATCCAGGTAGAAATTTTAAAACATAGTGTGCCATGAATAAATGATTTCTGAGGATGAAACAGTTCTGCTTCTGGAAACTTGACATGCACAATTCTGCCTTGGTAAACAGGAAGTGAGAGAGTCCATTTGGTATTGTTATCAACAGAGTTGACACATACAATGAAAATAGGCTGTCGGTTTAATGCCTCCATATTTTAATATTAAACTACATTGAAAAATACACAATTTTGAAAATTGCCCAAATTCTTCCTGCTTCCTATAACTGTAGAACAGTGCCCGACAATGCTTGCAGTTTGCCTAGGAGTGGGTGGCATGGGGAATACTCCCCTGGGGAATCTGGAATTGTTTGG